GTAAACTTCAATGAGTGCAGGATTTATACAGACCGGTTGTGCAAAGGGCACCCAGCCAAACACAGCACACATCTACAAACGCCTGTGTGAGCACGATTTGATGGGATGAGACAGTTTAAAGCAAAGTTAAAGGTTATAGGGGTGTTTTTTTGTTGTAGAGGTTATTCATCGACAGGCAGTCAATGTTTCATCTCCGAAAACTTAAAAAGCAAATCTGGTAATCAATTTGTCCACAGAATATGAAATGGTGCAATAACAGCTTTCTTTAAACAATATTTTGTATTTGTTTAACTTCTCTGTCCTATTGACAGGCTTTGGCCACTACCAGGCCGACTGCTGTAATCTCGCGTTACATGACTGCTGGGGTTCTCTTCTCTCTGACCCACCTGGTTTCTTTATTTCTAACTTTAATACATATTTTTTTAACTTGATATCAGCGAGGGACTATTTGAAAGCGGTACGCAAATAAGCAAAGGAATGTGCCCAATGAGGTCACACGAGTACTGGCAGGGCCAGGCATTGTACGGTGCCTGCTATTTGTATTTATGCAAAGGTAGAGGGCAGAGCTTGAGACAGCATGTATATGATGTCACGTGCAGTCTGATATTTGAATATGAATGAGATTGACAGCTACAGCTTGTTCTTTTTTAGGTTTAATGAATTGTCCAAGATCCTAAATGGAACAAAGTAGTTTGGAAACACGGCCTGGACTACATCATTCAGTTGCCATGACAATTATGGCAATGCCATTAATCGTCATGTGCTGACTCACCGCATTGTCTCCCTACGGAGTCAATAAAATAATTATTTTGTGGGATGTCCAAAGATGGTCGTGGGGGGGGGGGGGCGCCGTGTCATGCTCGACAGAGCACGGAGACATTTGGGCTCAGTTTACTGTACTGGAAGGGATTCTGCCTTGGTGCAAGTGTTATCGCTCTGGGCTCGCAGCAATTGAGAGGTCACCGGGTTCAATCTCCCCGGCACGATAGTTGAAGCAATGGGGAAGTTTCTAAAAATCCCCCCCCCCGCGCCCATCCACCGAGCTGTATAAACGGGTTCATCGCAGTCTGTCAATTGGCAGACCGGCATAGAAATGTCGGCCAAATTCCCTTCAGCTGGGGCTCTCTCTAGAGCTCCCTATAGTGAAGGCCCTTCTGCCGGCAGTGGTGTGAGTTACAATTTGACCTTTTACCACCTTGCATCATACAGATTTATTAATATTGTAAGTACTCAGATGTATATAACAGCTAGTTATTTTTTTTGTATGTGAAAATTTATACAAAAAGCAAAACTTGCCAAGCAGAACTCGGGGTAATTGATTGCATCGTTTGCATATAAGCAACATTTTAAGATACCAAATTGGCTTCATCCCTGCCCAAAATGCACTAAATCTTGAAGCTTGCACATCAGATATTGAGAGCTATCCTCTGGTCTCAACCTTCACAACTCCTCGAAATCCCAAGCACTCCTCCTACTGGGCACCGGGCGACGTTTTAACTCGACTCCACTTCCTCCTGCTTGAGCCATCGCCGCCGGCTCTACCTTACCGAGTCGCGCTGGAACTTGGCGGTCCGATCGCGAAATTGTGATCGTTAAAAGTTATAATGAGAATTATTAGAATTATGACTCGTATACAATTTATTTTACCTCGTTTGCGCTTACTCTGCAGTGTAATAAATACCAAATATTCATACTAAATAAAAATCAACCAAATGTTCTAATTTGCAGAACTAATTTAGAAACCAACCACTAACTTCAAATACAACCACACACACTTCGTTACCAGTGGGTTATATACACTACTTGAAAGGCAATCTTACAACATCAGTAAAATACAGTAAACAGTCAACATCCCTCCGTAGTAAACAAATACAGTACTGCAATTGGGTGTTGACTGAGTCATGCTTTTTTTTATTTAACTTTTTTAATTTTCCAATTTATATTTAAATGTGTTACCAAGTCTGTTATGTGCATCGCCCAGTGTCAACACTCACTAACTGGCTGATTAAATCTTTACGTAAATGTATATTTACATGTTGCACGTTGTGCATTGTTGTGGGATGTTTGAACATTTAACTTCTTTCGCACCATATGTAGCCAACCGTGCTAATTGAAGGTATGGGATGCAGTTTGCTCGATTGACGCGACTGATTCCATCACTGATTATTATAATGACTATTATCATTAAGATGACACCACAGAACTACTTCTGAAGTCCGCTTCAAAAGCCTCCTACTTATCCTAAGCGTTGCATTTTTTTACATCGCACGGCAAACGGCGATGGCAGCATGGGAATGAATTCAATAATCCTGAGAGTTTTTGTTGAAGTCATGAACGAAATTTAACTTGCCTGATTGTTCTGCTTCCGTACGGCTGATGTAGATGCAGAGCAACTAACTACAAATTCACATTGAGGTGGTCAAGCTAGATAACCGCATCAGGAGCCAGCGGAGTGAATCGTCGCTGTGATGTCTCCTTCGTATTTGCGGATCGGGCATTGTAACGTTATATGTTGTGTTATCTGTTCTGAATGACCACAGTCGTACACTGGCGAGTTTTTAATTTTCCATTTGTGCATCAGGTATCTGCATCTGCCATGGTTTCTGCAGTGGATGCGGTTTAGAGTGGACCATGAGCTTCGTGGATGATCATCTGCGTTGGGTCTTTCACAAGTGATTTATTATAAAATGGCGAAGGTGGGTTAAGAAGTTATACACTAAGCTAGCACCACTGAGGTCCTAGGTTTGCATCTAGGGTAACCACCCGTTCGTTATCTTCAGGATCTCGTGCGTAGTGAGTCGATGGAATCGGCCTGATCGCCAATGTCGTCACTGCATTCGGCTGAAAACCAGCTCAAAGACTCGATATTGATTGATATGCAGCAAACAACGTTTGTGTAAAAAAAAGGTATATAGAAGCGACTTCAGAGGTAGATCTGTGACACACAAATATATCGTCTTCTGTGGCTGTCTTTTCTTGCAGCTGCAGAGTACCAAATGTATTTTTGAATTTTTATTATCTCAGGGGACACGGTGTCCATAGCACATTGAAATAAATCTGGGGGAAATTAAATGACACGGAAATAGTGAGAACCCAGTTTAATAATCATGGGTGGCTGGCCTGGATTCGAAGGCCGGACATTGGCGGTGCTGGCTCAGTGCTCTGACACGGTATTTGTCCCATGTGCCACCCTGCCACCTCAGGATTGATTGGATACTTAGCCACCAAAGCAAATGGGGGGGGGGCAGTAGTGGGGACAGTGATTAGCCTACACTGCGCTATGAGCTTGACATCCTGACGTTTGACTCCTGGCCACGGCTAACATCAGTGGCACGCAAAATCGGATCCGGTGCGGGGGGCCTCCCTCTGCCACTTCTCCAACCCGCACCTGTATGGTGAAGTAGGGTCAAACAACCCCTATGACCGAAACAACATGTGGAGGCCTTCATCAATCAGTGCTGTAAATCAGGGGTCCCCAACCCCTGGGCCGCGGATCGGTACGGGTGGGTGGCCTGTTAGGAACCGGGCCGCACAGCAGGAGGTGAGAGCGGTGAGTCCGCGCGTGGCCCCCCCATTATTTTATTGACCACTTACGTCCGCGCTTCTTTCCCGCACTGCGCACTTGTCTCAGTCACAGTGTTGGTAAGCCCACAAGCTAACCCCTAGTAGCCAAAATGAGTAAAAAACAAACGTCGCTGGAGAGCTTCTTTGAAAAGGGGGAAAGACCCAATGATGAACCCCACCCCCCCACCCCGGTCCGTAAAAAAATTGTCTTCCACGAAACCGGTCCCTGGTGCCAAAAAGGTTGGGGACCGCTGCTGTAAATGACTTTCATAGCCATTAATGTAACCAGCACATCCGATGAGCACGGCTGGCTACGTACGGTACGGAAGAAGTTCAACGTACATACATACAGCACACAGCCTGTTATTGGGCTTGGTTACTCATAACAGCTGTTAGTCCACTGAACAAGAAGTTGCCTGGAAATGGCAATAGAACGATATTGCAATGAGTTTCACTCCGGGGCATAGAACTGGACTGAATAATAACGTCCAAGGGTTAGGTAGAGCGGACTCCTCTCCAAAGCCTTTATTTATTACCCCAACTTTACTCTGCAAAAAAGACAAGTTTAAAATATGATTTCCTTCTCTGTGGAACAGACTCGTGCATAAATTACACAACAAGGAAACGTTGTTCGAATCCTCAGTGAAGATTTCAATATTGTATGTGGACTTTAACAGTTGCCATCGACAACCAAGTAATTTTTTGTTACCGTGGGATTGGCTTTTTAATGTAATTTTGACGTTACACAAGCCCAGATTAAAAAAATATATATTTGGATGGAACGCCTGTGGACCAAATCATCACGAAATGCGCACAGTCTTGCCAGATCCCAGAAGCTAAGCACAGATCCCAGAAGCTAAGCATAGTTGAGCCTGTTCAATGCTCGGATGGGGAATCACAACACAGTTGGTGTAGCCCGTGGAGGCTACATTGTCAGACAGTGCAGGATGCAGAACATCCATTGTTGTACTGTACTTATTTACAATGCTCCTGCATCTACGCTCACCACCTTCACCAACCCGCATTGACCAGCATGGCGAAGTATGATGACATAGCCTCCTCCAAACGACCTGCACGGCATGGGGAGGAGATTCTTCATCTAGATTGACAAAAGGGCTGTACACGTACAGAATACGAGAATTACAGTATTGAAATAAAACAAACTCTCCCTTTGAAATAACAATGCACGGTACCGGGTGAAATGTGAACCATGTGCCACATTTGGGTACGCATCAGAATATTCTGAGCCAGATCGGTTGGCTCCGTCCGTGAGTGAGGCCTCACGATGCGCACAGAGGGCGGGAGTTGCACTCTGCTCATTCCGTAGACCCGTCGCATAGGAAGCTGCGTGAGAACTGCACATAAAGGGACCACGAGGCGACGCGGTGTGTGCACCTAGTCTGGCACAATCGCCGTGGCAGTTGTTGCTGCTGTACCTGTGCGCCACACTGCCCTTCTTGATTTCTGTGATCACCAGCGGCTCGCTCGGCTTTCTGTGAGTCGGCGCTGCAACACAGGACAACGACAGGAGCGTCACATCACGAAGGCGTTTTTGAGATGTATGAATAAAAAACAACTCCGCATAATTCAGGCAGCCCTCAAAGAGAAAAAAAATAGGTGCCGTTTCAGGCAATGGCCCCTCTTCACAGCGGAGAGATGAGTATCGGAAATGCGTGCGTCTCCACCACGCTCGAACAAGCCTTCTGTGGTGCTCATCTCTGTTGGTAGCCCCGAGCAGCGGTGATAATTCCACATTCCCATAGTAGGGCCCAGTTTATCCACATTGACTTCTTTAACACAACTCTCGCTTTGCGAGAGTTGTGTTAAGGACCCCGGAAAGGTGAAGGTCGCGCTTTACTCCGGACTTGCATATAACTCTAAACTTTACCATTGTTTTAACTATGTTTATCGTTGAAATCTTATCGTTATAAACGCATAATCACCACCACCATCAACTTCATCATCATCAAACCTCGGAAAGAGGTCAAGGATAAACACGAATATTAGGAGGAATGTGTTACACGACTCCTCTTATCCGCAGGAACCGGAGTCAATGGCAATGGAATTTTGTATGTGGCACAGATAATCGTCAACAGCAGCATCAATCCACAATAATAATCACTGATAAGCACGGACCGTAGGAGTAATTTGTTTGCCACTTCTGGTTCACTCTTCTGGCTTGTGAAATAGCCTTGGATAATTGGTGCAATATCTCCACGGGTAATAGAGGAGTTTCAATCCATAGAGTCTGGCCGTGGGTGAATAGGGTCACAGATACACAGAACTACACTATACCTGTTAATTTACTTTTGAAAAATAATTCTACAATGTAAAATACACGTCGAAAACTGACAAATACATTTATTTTTTGACAACACGATTTTGGTACAGAGAGCTTAGTGGATCACAAATCGTTAACCAAATCCCTTTAGAAATATTCTGATGACATCACACCACCCATTTAAACTGGGGGACATTGTCACAATTCTGACAACTGCCTGATAATGCTGGTTTTAACTACCCGGGAAAATGACGCACCTTGTTAAACGTTGTGCGAATGTATCCCCCGTTGAGTCTCCCCCCTCCTAATAAATGGCCCAGTGGCATCGTGATTGTACCACTTGAGTGATGTAGGCGGGACTAAACGAGTCTTGCGGCGCACTGTAATGGGGCTCGTGCTTTATCCAATAAATAAATAAAATGTGTGGATTGCTTTCCAATAACGCTACTGGTGGTGTCGAAGCGGCGATACATTGGCAATTTTATTAATTCACAGTGTCGGATGGAGGAGGGAGTACGACACACATTATATGCACGCGATCCGACCTAAAAATAAAAACCCCAAAGATGAATCATTATATCGGTCGCGAAAGCCTAATGTGTTAAATTCAGAAACGTTTACGTAAAAAAAACTTTTCATCATAGAGGACTGGTGGAAGAGATGCAGCAACGTGCCATGCAAGGGAAACATCGCTGCCCTGGAGGACACAATGCTCTGATGGAGCCTGCGAGGCATGGTGGTTGGTGACATCAGCCTATTAATCTTCTAATTGGTTTATTTTATCGAACACATAGCTCTTGGGCAAATATGAATGCTTGGGGAATGGGACGCATTACAACTTTAGAGTGGCAGATGTCAGCTTCGGGGAGCATTTGCATTAAAAGCACATAATTGCTCTCTCCAGAATGAGTATAGTGTGAATGCGTTTGCCAGTAATTGTGTGCAAACACCCACAAAGTTGATTGAACGAGGATATGCGTGTGTGTGTGTAATGTAGTGGGAGTGCTAGTGGGAGTGGTATCGCAGCAGTTAGTGCGCTGCGCGACGAACGCAACGACCCGATTCCCGTTCATCGCTGCACCAGTGACGATTATCTGAACCACTCCTGGGCATCCCCCTCGGTCGACTCATCCTCAAACGAGTACCTGGCACGATGTGTAAACATCAGCACTTGGGAGATAAAGGTGGCCAGGCGAGGTGCTGGCCTCCCACCCAACTTCGTGTGCCATGCCGACCTTCATAGGTGCTCGCTAACAGCACTTGTCCCTAAAATCTGTTTAGCCTAAACAAACAAATGTCTGCAATTTAACCCGAGTAGCTTTCAGTTAGATTGTAGGAGAAAAGTGCTGTGAGCACGGCACTCACTCGGTGATGGGTGGTGCGGTGAGTGAGTGGACGGCACAACACACCCGGCTGCATTTGTCTCTCTGGCGTTGGTGTTCACACACCACCGCATACTTATTTAAAGCTGAGTAGACCCAGGCCAGGTTCAGAATACAAACCTCCACGAATATGCATTGGCCAAGAGTGGAACCCAGGGAACATATTGGACAGAACTTGCCCAGCCAGACGAAGGCCAAATCAAACATAATACTTATTTGTTTTTGATCACTTCATCAAGCACAACGAAAGCTAAACAAACATATAATTTGGAATTCTTGAACAGGCCAGATGATTTGAAAGTAGATATGGCCAATGTTAGATTCACTAATCACAAAGAAAATATACTCGTAAAATAAAACCCATTTCACTGCCGCTGCCTGATATGGCTCGACTGAGACAAAAGTTTCGTATCAGCACAAAATATACGTGAAGGAAAACACATTTAAAGACCCATTGCATACAACCACAAGCGAGTGATGAATAAAAGCCTAAAGTATAATGAACAGAATAGGCCTGAAAGATCTTTTGGGGAAACTTAGTAAAAAAAGAAGTGACCTTGCCTTCCCTGCATCCTGTATGTGGAGGCAATCAATTTCCATTGAACCTGCGGGGCTAATTGGACATGCTCAGGCACCGTTGGCATTGATTACGGTGGAAATTGCCGTATCACGTTCCGCACAAACACTGCCAGCCACTTTTGCCAGCAGCCCGAGCCAGCTGGGAGAGGAGTCAGTTGCGAGCAGCAGCTCGAACGGGGAGAAGTTGCAAATGGGAAGCCTGGCAGCATCACAACACACTCGTCGCTGCCTTAGGGCCAATTTGTACATTTGCACTTCCTCCCAGAAACCTTCATGTGCGTGCCTGTGTGTGTGCACGACTGTGTGAGGAGCTCACATATCCATTGGCTGGGCCATGTAGCTCGCATGCCGAGCCACCGCATGCCTAAACAGCTTTTGTTCGGCCGGATCGAGGGGGATAAACGGGCACGGCACGGGCTAGAGAAGAGATGGAGTGATGTGGTACAGGAGGATGTGGAGCTGAGTGGACTTGCCGATGACTGGTACCAGTGGTGTCAAGATCGGCCTCTGTGGAGGAGGCTCGTGAAGGAGGCTACTGGGCAGTTGGAGGCAGTCGCCCTCCAACAACAATGGAGGGGGGAGGAGTGATGCTCACAACAACGAGCGGAGCGCCGGGTGGCTAAAACACAGCAAGTTGGCACAGTAGGGGGCACAGGTAGTGCATCGGCCACTCATCTCAGTCGACCCGTGGCACCTGGGTCTGCCCCGTGACCTCCTGTCAGCGGGCGTTCGACACTTCACGTGGCCTCAAGGTGCACATGGCCTGGCACAAGCGTTGTGGTGACGTCACCGCCACTTAGTGGCGAATGGCGGTTGTTGTTGTTGCACGACTATGGGGAGCGGTAGTGTAGTGGTTAGCGCTACGCTGCGCTCACCGCCGGCGGCCCGAGTTCGATTTCTGCTCATGGCCACTGCCGGTGACGATCATCTGAACCGGTTTTGCGCCTTCCCTAGGTCGACTCAGCCTCAAATGAGTACCTGGTGCAGTGTGTAAACATCGCCACTGGAGAGACAAAGGCGTTCGGGCAGGGTGCTGGCCACCCATCCCCTCGTGTACCGATCCGGCCCTCATAAGTGCTAGCTAACAGAACTTGCCCCAATAGTCTGTTAAGGCTATACGGGGATCTTTGTTTTTGTGCAGTGGGGTCGTGGTTAGCACACTGTGCAATGAACGCACCTACCTAGGTTCCATGACCAATATCCTGCACATGAATAATAACGGTGACGAATTTCTGAACCAGTCCTGGGCCTCCCCTCGGTCGATCCAGCCTCAGTGTCTGGTGCCGTGTGTAAGCATCAGCACTGGGGAGACAAAGGCGGCCAGGCGTGGTACTGGCCACTCAGCTCTTCGTGTGCTGTGCCGGCCTTAAAAAGGCAACCCACAAACATCACTTTCCCCAACAGCCTGTGAAAGGCTATACGGGGGATCGTTGTCTTTGATTATATATTGGCAATGCATACTAACTCACTAGCGCATGCATATTAATACTAAACGACTGTGTTGGCAGTGGTGGACAAGTACGAACGAGAGAACACAGTACCACCATTGTGTTTGTTTAAATATGGGCAGTAATTAATATGGCAAAACATTAGCTGTCGGGCTCGTCGACCAGGCAAATAATTAGCGCTGCGCCGCATGCGGCTGGCGGCTCCGCTGAAGTCTACGCAGCTGCAGCGCGACTGCCAGTCGCTCGCGAATATTCCGCCACGGAGCATCGGACAGGGACGCTGCCGCAACACGGAGGGAGCGTGAGAAGATCTCGGGACGATCGTTTATTGTGAAAATTCGGTCACAGTTCCTATGATCACTGTCACATTGCTTTTATGGTTTTATTTTGGTGATTTCGAAAAGTTTTTTGGTTTGCCCATGTTTGTTTGTTGTAGTACGGAGTTAGACTGATGGCCTTAATCTAAGTTGCCTTGTGGTTATTGTTGTTGTTGTTTGACTTTGGGATTTTTGCACACAGCGTTGTTGTACAGTGATTTTTCTGCAATATTTTGCTGTCTTGGATTTTCTGTTTGCACATCGATTGCACCCGATTCAAGAGCCGAATGGCTCACAGGGCTATACCTAATAAATGAAACTGGAACTGAAAACTTGCCCCTCCCCTCTGCGTATCGATGTCAAATCCCCACTGCCACCCTCCCAGTCTGAAATGCAGATGTTGGCCGAAGCTGGTCCCCTTAGTGTCACGCGATGGCGCGAGACGAGGGGGAGGAAAACGGTGGAGTCTCAAACAGGAACCGTATTGAAGACTCGACTAGGTGGGTATCAGCCCTGATTCCTCTCTCTCTCTGCAGCCCCAATGCAGCGGGTACCGCTCTCGACCGCGTCGCAACAACCGCACATTAAAGAAGGTGTGGAAATATTTTGTTCATGAATAGAACGACCATCAGGCACACATCATTGATGACTGCCCCCATATTCTGGTGGGACAAGTAGACTCCATTCAGCTACCCCAATACAACACACGCGTGTTCTGGTGGGGCAAGCGGAACTCCACTCAGCTCCCACCCCGGATGCTGTGGAATGGCGACAACGCCATCTAACAGAGGGAGATGCTGTTGCTGCCACACCCACCCACAATGGATGCTATCTATTGCCTTTCTATAGCCCCACGGTGCGTTTTAAATTCGTCTATTTCATGAATTTGAATATTTTGTTGTTATGCTTGTTTCCTGAGGAAAGCCTGAGTCCCAATACACTTTTTAAGGAAGGCCTGTCAAGTTTTCTCATTTGGTAGCGACATTGTCCCGAGTAATTTGCAGATACATGTCGGCATTTGGATGTTTGGTCAATATCCGTGACATTGTGTGTGTTTTTCTTTATAGCTATGGGAGGGAACCGATCATATGAAGGAACCCCCATGCACAACAGGGGGAGAGAACATACAAATGCCACACAGAGAGGCGCCCGCTTCGGGAATTGAACCTAGGTCCCTCTTGCGCTAAGGCATGAGTGTTACCACTGCGCCGCCCTGGATATATGTATGTGTGTTGACACGTATCCGCGTGCAAAAGAGAAGCGTACGCATCCAGTCTCAAACTTCCGTTTTCTCAGCTCAATATATTTCAGCAGTCTCATCAGGCTTCATGGTGTCAACAGGTCTCCAACTCTAATTATCCACTCTCTATCTCTGACCTGTATACGTATGTGCTATGAATATGGGCGATTGTCCGAAGCATCACCTATTGTATATATTTTCATTCATTTTGAAGCCACATGGTGTTATTTAGGAATGTGTTGAGTTTTTTTTTGTTTCAGTTGTGGCTGCTCCACACAGCAGCAATGCAGCCTTCATCAGAGCACGATACTTGAGATCCTATTCGCTGCACAGGCACTACCCATAGAGGCATTGGTAATCAATCACAATGATCTCTCATACTGCCCATAGAGGCATCAGTAGCCAATCACAATTATCTCTCACACTGCCCATAGAGGCATCAGTAGCCAATCACAATGATCTCTCACACTGCCCATAGAGGCATTGGTAATCAATCACAATGATCTCTCATACTGCCCATAGAGGTATCGGTAGCCAACCACAATTATCTTTCACACTGCCCATAGAGGCATCGGTAGCCAACCACAATGATCTCTCATACTGCCCATAGAGGTATCGGTAGCCAACCACAATTATCTTTCACACTGCCCATAGAGGCATCGGTAGCCAACCACAATGATCTCTCACACTGCCCATAGAGGTATCGGTAGCCAACCACAATTATCTTTCACACTGCCCATAGAGGCATCGGTAGCCAACCACAATGATCTCTCATACTGCCCATAGAGGCATCAGTAGCCAATCACAATGATCTCTCACACAGCCCATAGAGGCATCAGTAGCCAATCACAATGATCTCTCACACTGCCCATATAGGCATCAGTAGCCAATCACAATGATCTCTCACACTGCCCATAGAGGCATCCGTAGCCAATCACAATGATCTCTCACACTGCCCATAGAGGCATCCGTAGCCAATCACAATGATCTCTTACACTGCCCATAGAGGCATCAGTAGCCAATCACAATGATCTCTCACACAGCCCATAGAGGCATCGGTAGCCAATCACAATGATCTCTCACACAGCCCATAGAGGCATCAGTAGCCAATCACAATGATCCCTCACACTGGCCATAGAAGTAATTGCATTGTTCATGCATGAACCAAAGAGACAGGAACAAGTTATCATTGTCAGGGGGAAAATGTGTCACATTATTAACTTGTTTGCCCTCTTGGCCTTCACAGATGCTCGCTAACTAATACAGCGGGATTTAGACTTCACATTTAACACTTAAAAATATGAAAATATGGATTTAAAAAATGTCATTCTTATCAGGGCCCCATGGCATATACTGTAGTATGCTTTCAACTATTATTCACTCGATATCCGTGGCCTCTCTACGTGCTATGAAGAAGGGCCATTTCCCAAACAGTTGCTTATGATATATTATTCCTTTATAGTGCTGTTGACGAATGTGTGTTAGCTTTTTGTGATTTGTGCCAACAAAGCAGCATCACCAAATCGTCAGTATGAACATGAAAGACAGGTGTGGTTTTACATTGTCCTCGGGTAGCTTTGTCTACATATTAGATCACCTTTCGCAGTTGCATTTGCTTATGAGGCCCAGCCCTACTGATGCGACTCAGTCAGGTTGAAACTTGTCCAAATGCTTGTTTAAAGGGACGCTACAACGGAAACTTTACGTCGGACAGAGGTTCTAAATGTGAATGTATTAACCATTATATTTCCTTTGCGCAATTAACAAAGTGATTTAGCTCTTGGATTCACCGTGCAATAAAAGCCAATCTCCTTTCACCTTTGCTGTCTTTTCGAGGAAATAAAAAAAGGGCTTCATTTTTAATTTGCAGTGGCAGCACACAGAAATCCCGAGCTGTGAAGCCAGGAAAATCTGGCACACACCACGGCTCCCCATCAAACGGTGGTATATTGTTTCTATATTAAAGTTAGCACACAGAATGTGAGGAAAAATCCAATGTTCACGGAAATAGATTGAACTAACATCTGTTGAATTCTGGCAACGGTGAGCATTGCTGAACAAGCGCCTCGTGTAATGCGTTTATAAGTGGGTTTCGTGTGCGAGAGTGTGTTCGCAGTGGTATGGGTGGAGTGGTGGCACTGTGGTTAGCGCACTGCGCGATTAACCTGGTGACCCAACTTTCGATTACGATCAACATTAGTGACGATGCCACGAAATGTACCACTCAGCCTCAAATGAATATCTGGTGTGAAATGTGAACATCGCCTCGAGGAGACAACGTTGATCGGACGTCGTGCTAGCTACCCACCCCCTCGTGTGCCATGGTGACCTTAATAGGTTCTTGCTCACACCTCTTGCCCCTAAAGTCTGGTAAGGCTATACAGGGGAACTTTGTCTTTGGTCAGCCAACAATAACAAAAAGCAGAGGAACGATGCTCACAACAATGCGTGGAGCACCAGGCGGATAAAATTCTGCAAGCTGGCAAAGGGGGAGAGCACAGGTGGTGTAACTGTCTGTCATCCCAGTCTATTATCCCATGGCACCTGGGTCTGTCTCATGACCTCCTATCAACGCCCCTTCGACACATCACGTCGCCTCAAAGTGCACCTATCCTAGCACGAACAGTGTGAAGACATCACCGCTGCTTAGTGGTGAACGGTGGTTATTGTTGTTTATGTGCGCCGGCCTTCATAGGTGCTCGCCAACAGCATTTGTCCCAACAGCCTGTTAAAAGACCATACGAGAGATCTTTGTCTTTGTGTGTGAGCACATGTCTGTGTGTGTGTGTTATCTCTGTGCATGCACATGTGTTTCCGTGTTTCTTTGACATGGATGTGTGCGTGCTACTGCTAGTAATTGGAAATCTCACACTTACACGTGATGGTAATTCCCAGCTCCACGCCTTTCTTCTTGGGAAGTGTGACGTGGAAAGTGCCACTGCTCGGAATCACCGACTCTATGAATAAAATACACAACAACAACAGCGAGCAGGATTGCCTCCATACTTCTACACAAATGATAGCGCAAGGAAGTGGCTTATTGCGTGGAAATGTATAGAAGCCAAATACACTGTACGCATGTTGATTCTAAATGGGGAGGGAAAAACCGGAGGACCCAGAGACAAGTCCACGCAACCACGGAGAGAACATGTAAACTCCGAATATACAAGTGTCAGGGTTGAAATCAAACCCACCTCGTGTATACCAGGCGAGATAGTTAACATCCGGTATACAGAAGGTCGTGGGTTTGATCCCAACCCTGATGCCTGTATATTTAGAGTTTGCATGTCTCCCCGGGGTCGCGTAGATTTTATACAGGTCCTCTGGTGCTTGGAGGATGCATTCTCACTGTGGTAGTACAAGTGTCAAGGTGGAAACAATCATAGGGAGAGAGCTTCTGCAATGCCATGCTTGTGTATCCTGGATGAGGCTGGAAGTTGGGTTTTTCTCCGAAACCTTTCAACAAGTTGGTAGAGCTGGGCCGTGTTTGTCGCTCACTGATTTGCACTAATTTAATGCCGTTACCGCCACTCATCACCAAAGTGCTCTCGAATTATTTTGACGAAGTACATTAGTGGCCACTGATGAGTGACAATGTTCTTCAGGCTCCAGAAGGCACAGCCTGGGTATTTTGCGGAGAAGTGGCACTGCTGCAGATTCAACGAGGATAACACAAATGTGAAAATTTGTTGAGGTGAACAGATTTGTACACGTAAAATGCATTGTTGGATTAAAAAAGAAATGCATTTACGGTAACCTTGAACACATTGCATGTGGTTGGATAAGTGAAACATTAAGTAAATACTCTCGGTGCATTTGGGTATAGATTCCATGCCATGCTCCCAAAACATTGTTCAGCTGTTGCCATGTTGACATTTGTCAAAGTGAGATTTCAAAATAAATCATGCATAGCATAAACGCGTTTAAAAAAAAACATAGTTGATCATTAATACTCTGGACACAACTGTATTGATTTTATTTGATCCAATTTTAGTGAACTGTTAAGTCCAGTTTAAACTGCGTCCGCCAACGCTTTGCCTGGTTGGCTCACTTCTATAAAGCAACTCGAAGTGTCTCCAGTTTCAAAGGGGCGTCTATTAATTGGTGTCGCTGAGCCAGTGATCGGATTTACACTTTTCAAGTTGGGGGGGTCAATAAATTCCCTCAATGTGACACTCCTTCGTATTATACGAAAGAGACGTCACAGCGATGAAACAACTACGCTGCTCTTTGACGCAGTTATCTGGCTTGACCACCTGAATGTGAAATTGTAGTCATTGCTCTGCCATCTACATCAGCAGCCGTACGAAAGAAGAAGATGAATATTGTGATGGATAACAAATGGAAACATTTGCAATTATGGCCATGAAACCCAAACTATGGACCATCTCGTAAACCACTGTAGCCTGCGCTCCTTTAGTGGAGGAAAAGCAAAACCACGCAAACTTTAACTTCCCAAACCCTCTCGTCATGGTTAACAGACCTCGACATTGGCATTCATCTCCGGAATATATTGCCGCGAGATAGAATGGAATAGTAATACAATCTGTAACGTGCACAATGTTTCAAAGACATAAGTGACCACGACCGTTGAGGAAGAGAGCCAAGCTCCGTGCAACTCTAAAGCCAGGTGAAGAAGGTGGCGCCTCTAAGCGTCTCTTGAAAGTCGGCGTAGATTGAATGCTGCAGAATTTTGCAGCGGGATAGCAATTATGGGCTCGATTGTGAGGTGAGTACTCTGCTACGGCGCCACAGGTATAATCCCCTCTATCAAATATACTTCCAAAAGAAGTGGCTGGGTGACTCAGAGGTGAGAGTGTGGAGGTGGCACTGCTGAGTTCCTCGGTTGAATACGGGCAGCCTGTGAATCAATTGGGTTCTCAAGCGCAGTGAGATTATGGTCTCAGCCCAATCACCAATGACTGCACACATACACACAAAAACCCCGTCATCAAAATAGGCACCGCACTTAATTAGGCTAAACTCCGTGGTACATTTCGTGGCATTTTCACGGTGAAGCGGCGGGCGTTTGCGTTGCGCACACAAGAGGTGGCGGCAAATGACTCGCGGAGCCAAATCTCACCGGCAACGTCAAACTCCACCTCGAGTGAGGCGCTGCCCACCAGGGCCTGCTCGTGGAGGTACTGCGACACCTCTGCCAGCGAGCCCAGCTCCGCCGTGGGGATTCCATTGACAGAGAGGATGCGATCGCCCGGCTGCAGGAGGCCGCACCTGTCGGAAGGAAGCGGAAGGAAGCGGGTGGACACAACAACAACGGCGAGCGCTGATCGTTACTACTGTGTAGGTTTTTTTTGTTGTGGTGCTGCTGACCAGTTCTCCCCCTGTCGCACTGCGCATCGTTTGGCACGGCGTCCGACGTTTTACTTCACGTGCTCGGAGCTTCTAAAGGAGCCAAGCAGGAAACATTGAACATTGTGCCGGCTGAACAACAACACACGGTGCAACCTGAAAACACAGCAGAGTTATGGCAGTGACCTCTATTTATCAACGGTCATTGCAATATTTGATCAATTAGATTTTGACATGCTCATGGATTACCTCGTACGCTGAAACCTGATCGTGCAATGACTATTTTACTATACCCCATGTAGCGGAGGTAGGAACAGAGGACCTGTGTTCTTTCCTTTTTGGTGTATTTATACTAAACTATGTTTTATTTCACAAGGTAAGGTCCACTGAGCTACACAGCTTTTTTTCAGAATGGACCTGGCCACAAATGATAGCTCAACGACGTGGCTTATCATGTGGAAATGTAGAGCAGCCAAACACTCTAAACGCACATTGATTCCAAATGTGGAGGGAAAAACCGGAGGACCCGGAAACAAATCCACACGACCAAGGGGAGAACATGCAAACTCCAAATATACAGCACGCTTCAGGATCGGGATCGAACCCACAACCTCCTATATACCAGGCGAGGAAGTTGACATCTCGCCACTGTGGCTAATGGCCTTGCTACCAAGGACATTCTTATCCGGCCTCCGTGTCCCGCATGCGCCTCTCGTCCTCAGGTCGTTTAAATGAGGGCGACGACTACAGCGCCGTGATTTCTCCAGTGGACAGTGGGGGATTGGTGGACTGAGCGGCCCCCAAGGTGTCCCCCCTTACACAGCAGCCCGGTAACATTACAAAAATATTGCCCCCCATCCCCCCGCTCTTATATTGCCATGAATTCAAATTAACTGGAGGATATTTGATTAAAATGGAAAAAAAGACATAAAACACGTTGTTACAAATATGGAATTCCAATGAGAATGAAAGCATTTTAGTAGTTTACCCTGTGGGAACATTCGAAGCCAATTTGAGGCTGCTCAGTTTTATCGAAAAGCAATGCCTCCAAGCTCATTACACTCTCTGATGCAAAGCTACATGTGGTACCCAAACATCATCTTTATTCCAATTATTGCCATGTGGCAGTTCAGCGGAGATAATACGATACATTTTTGGGGAGCAAAGGTAGCAGTTGCTAGTGTGCTATGCAACAGAACCAGCAATCTACGTTTGGTTCCTGGCCACGGCTAACGTCAGAGGTGATTGATATCTGAATGGGTCCTTCATCAACCCGCACTGACCAGTGTGGTGAAGCACAGTTAAAACAATCTCCACAGGAGGGACACGCCACAGTGAGGCTTCATCCAGCAGTGGATTGACAAAGAAATGTAAATTGTAATTGTTTTCATCAGACAGTATAGGCATTGACTCGTGCAATCAAGGATTGAGCAAGGCATACTCACGAGGCAGTACACCCTTGCAGTAATGTCAGCTGTAATGCAAATCAAGTTAAGGAATACAAATATGTATATCTAACACTGGACTTAAAATTGTAACACCAAGGGGTATGCAAAGAAGTTTTGCTTGATGCGTTCTCAATCAATATTTTCTACGCCTTGTATGTTGAACTTCTTCCGCACTCTACATTATAAACCATGTCAATCGGAGGTGCGGGGTAAGGACAACAAACTAAACACAAAAAGCAGCTTTAAAGAAATTATATTTAAATCTAAATTAGTGGTTCTTAACCTTCACTGTAGCCTCTCAATCGATAAAAAAAACTTTTAATGTTAATAAATACATAGGTTTGATAAAAAACAAAGTGGTTGTACTTACATGCCCATGCTTAATTTGTGTTTCGATGATTAGCTTCTAAAAAAGTTTGGCTATGTCTCGCACTCCCAGCAAGGGCATCTTGCACCCCCCCCCCCAGGGAGTGCAGCGTGCACTCCAGTTTAAGAACCACTGCTCTGGATGATTTAAAGGTGTATAGCTCCAGTGGTTTCCTAATATCGGAAGAAAGAGCATTCCAGACGGCTGCAGAAGCACATCTGAAAGCGCTCCCTGGAGGGTCATGGTCGACAAACCATTGCTATTGTCCAATAACTTCCCAATGGACATTGTGGTTACAAGGCGAAAACATCAGTCTATATTGAATCTTCCCTTGAGAACATTGTCACAGACAAATGCACATCGTAAGTACACATATTTATATATGACTTGTGTATAATTCACGAGTACTGACTGGTTAAGTCAAAACATCACTTGCTCAAATGAGAAAAGTAAGTGCGCCACGGTGGCATAAAGGAGGTCGTGAGCGATCCTGACGCCTGCTGTATATTTGGAGTTTGCATGTTCTCCCCGTGGTCGTGTGGATTTTTCTCCAGCTCCTCCGGGTTATTCCCTCCACATTTAAAATCAACATGCGTTTAGAGTACTACATTCGGCTCCTATACATTTCCATGTGATAAGCCACTTCGTTGAGCTATCATATGTGGCCAGGTCGCTTCTGAAAAAGGGCTTTATAGCTCAATTGGCTAAATAAATGAATAAAAGTTGTCTTCATCCGAACTGACAACCAGTTGTTGAAATTCCACATTGTTATGACAGGATACAGTTTACCCAAAGGATGACGATTTGTTCAAAACGTATCCAAAGTATTAAACATTTTATTGGATCCCGAGACCTGACGAGCTGAGACGACCACCCGGCCTTGTATTTGAACTCGCAACCTTTGAGCCAAGCATGCAAACTGCAGCACAGGCCGTCTCGACAGCCATGATATTGACGGGCAACAAAGGTGCCGATGGCGACGTTGCAGACACACATTTGCTCATCTTGGAAAACAATGGGATCAGATGCTTGAGTCAATGCACATGAGCAGGCAGCATGCTTGCACTGTGCTCATGGAACCTGTAGGAGAATTGGGATACGGCTGTAAACTCCAACGATAGAATAATATGACGCTCCCATGCGAGTAGTTGGCACCGTACTTGCGAACCCGAGACACAGCCATAAAGGCTTGAAACAGAGGTCACCACACACACACGGACACACACTGTAGAAGCAGCACCTGTTTAAATGAGCTGTGTGTGTGTGCGCGCATCACGACCAAGGCCTCTAAAGCGTGAAGGTGAGCGGTTCGGCACATCGTAATTGATTTACTTCCAATGACAACACCTGAACTGGAGAGAATGGCCTCACCCTCTCAGTGACTAACAAGGCACATTCTTCGCGAACTGCACAGCAGGCATATTATATTAGCTCACTGCAAATCCAGCACCAAGGAGAGCTCCACGTTTTACGAAGCACAATATTTATATTTTGGACAGATAGTGAGATAGCCATCGTGCTTAGCATTGAGCCCTTGCTTCAATGATTGTTAAAGCCAGGTACCGTATATACAGCATCAGGGTTGCTAACCCAACACATTCGAATTCTGTTCATTATGTTCAAGGATTTTCAGACATTCAGACATCCACTCATTGATATCACAATTACTGTAAACAGGTACAGTAAAACCTCTCAAAGCCATAAGGTTATATAAAATACATTTTGACTTAAAACTTTCGTGACTGCAGGAATTCATATTCTTGGTTCTTTCGGTAAAGTCACGTAGATAGAAAAATAATAATAACAATTATAATAATAAAATAATAATAAATAGAAAATAATAAAGGCACAAAAACACAATAAAAAAGTTAAATTAAGTACAAAATAAATTGAAAAAAAAAATCCACGACGTTTCGATCGAAACACAAGCGGTCTTACTATTTTAAAATTTTATTGTGGTTTTTTGCTTTTATTATTTTCCATTTTTTTTATGATTTAAATTTAAACTTTTATTATTTAATTTTTTTGTTTTCTATCTACGTGACTTTACTGAAAGAACCAACAATATTAAGTAAATACTGCTTTTATTTTAATTTTACACAGAAACCAAAAACCCGACCTGCATATGTTCACTAGAAATTCTAACCTTCAAACGTACTCGTTGTATGGAATGCGGTGAACCCGTTCCCCTGGATGCCACGTGCTCTGCAAAGGTGGTCACTCACTTGTTTCAGGAGCACCATGGTGGCGAGATGTTAACTATCTCGCCTGGTATACAGGAAAGCGAGGGTTCGATCCCGACCCTGACGCCTGGACATTTGGAGTTCACGTCTCCCTATGGTCGCGTGGATTTTTCGCCAGGTCCTCCGGTTTTTCCCTCCACGTTTAGAAACATGCGTTTAGAGTATTTGGCTGCTTATACATTTCCACAAAAGCTACTTCTATTTAAAGCTTTCGTGACTGCAGGGATTCGTCTTCTTGGTTCTTTCGGTAAAGTCACGTAGAATGGAAATAATAAAAATAAAACATAACAAAATAATTATATTATTTTATTATGTTTTATTTTTATTATTTTATTAGTAAAATAATTATGTTATTTTATTATGTTTTATTATTATTATTTTATTATTTCCATTCTACGTGACTTTACCGAAAAAACCAAGAAGAAGATAAAGCTACTTCGTTGAGCAATCATTTGTGGCCAGGTTTCTTCTGAAAAAGAGCTCTACAGCTTGGTGGGCCTGGTAAAAAAACATAGTTTCGTTTCACATCTTTAGTTTAGTTTCTTTTATATTTATTTTCCAAACATTCTTCAAGCCCGTCAGCAAATTTGTTCGGCCTTCCACATCCACTGAACCTCAGCCTCCTCCTTTGCTTAATGGAGATAGTGATTATTGTGTGTAATCAAATTGTAAATATTACATCAATTGTTATTAAGTGTTAATTAAATGAGTTCGTTGTAAATTATGTGTAAACATAAATGTGTAAACATAATTTAACTTGAGAAAATTATTTACATATACCAGACATCCCCTACGAACAGAGAGCCTCCCCCCAAATTCTCACCCACCCACTCACCACACTGCAGGTCACAGAAACTCGCTCACCCACACACTCACCACACTGCAGTTCACAGAAACTCGCTCACCCACCCACTCACCACACTGCAGGTCACAGTAACTCGCTCACCCACCCACTCACCACACTGCAGGTCACAGTAACTCGCTCACCCACCCACTCACCACACTGCAGGTCACAGCAACACACTCACCCACCCACTCACCACACTGCAGGTCACAGTAATTCGCTCACCCACCCACTCACCACACTGCAGTTCACAGAAACTCGCTCACCCACCCACTCACCACACTGCAGGTCACAGCAACTGACTCACCCACCCACTCACCACACTGCAGGTCACAGCAACTGACTCACCCACCCACTCACCACACTGCAGGTCACAGTAATTCGCTCACCCACCCACTCACCACACTGCAGGTCACAGCAACTGACTCACCCACCCACTCACCACACTGCAGGTCACAGTAATTCGCTCACCCACCCACTCACCACACTGCAGGTCACAGTAATTCGTTCACCCACCCACTCACCACACTGCAGGTCACAGTAATTCGCTCACCCACCCACTCACCACACTGCAGGTCACAGTAATTCGCTCACCCACCCACTCACCACACTGCAGGTCACAGTAATTCACTCACCCACCCACTCACCTACTGACTCACCACACTGCAGGTCACCTCACTTCCTCCGCTTCTTCCCTCACACTTTGAATTGCCTCAAACCGTCTCTGTTTATTAAGTTCTTTGTAACCTTGCAAAACTTAAGAACATCAACGCTTAACGATTACAACTTTAATTCTGCAGTTCCGTTTGTGTGAACAGCGACCAAAATATTTAATAAATACATCATATGTGCTGTACTTGCCGGAGGTGAAGTAATGGGAGCGGTGGGTGCAGTGGTTTCACACACTGAACCATGAACCCGGCGACCTCGGTTCGATTCCTGGCCACGGCTGACATTGGTGTGGCAAGTGATTTGAAGCGGCCCTGGGAACCATCCCTTCACCAACCCGCACTGACCACAGCATGTTGACGACGTCTGGACAAACACCCCTCCAATGCCAACGCGCCATGGCCTAGGCATTACATTAAACAGGGCGCTTGTTAGCGAGTCTGTGCTGATTACCTCTCGGCAGGGCTGTCGGGCTCGATGTATCCGATGAGCAGCGGCGCTCCGAAGACGTCGGTGGAGAAGGTGCCGCCCTGCAGGTGCAGGCCGAAGCCAGGGCCCCCGTCGGAGGCGAGGTGCAGCGCCACGCTCTCGGTGTGCACCACCTGGCCGCCGGGCCCCAGCGTGCTGCACGCTGTGCGATTCGCACGCATGCACACACACACGCACGCACACACACGTATGCACACGCACGCACACGCACGCACACACAACAAAGACAAAGATCCCCCGTATAGCCTTAATAGACTGTAGGGGCAAGTGCTGTCAGCGAGCACCTATGAAGGCCAGAACGGTACACAAGGGGGTGGGGTGGCCAGCACCACGCCCGACCGCCTTTGTCTCCCTAGTGGCGATGTTTACACACCGCACTGGGTACTCATTTGAGGCTGAGTCGACCTAGGGGAGGCCCGGGACCGGTTTAGATAATCGTCACTGGTGTTTGCCGTGAGCGGGAATCGAACCCGTGTCGCCAGGTTCGTAGTGCAGCGCGCTAACCGCTACACTACCGCTCCCCACACACACACGCACGCACACGCGCGCACGCACACGCGCACACGCACGCACACACGCGCACACACGCACGCACACGCACACACACGCGCACACACGCACGCACACACACGCGCACACACGCACGCACACGCACACACACGCGCACACACGCACGCACACACGCACACACACGCACACACACACGCACACACACACACGAACACACGCACACACACACGCACACACACGCACGCAGCGCAGCAACGGCGTCACGCAGTGCCACCACATGAGCGGGGCGCACGTGCGCCCAGCAACTCTGGTAGTAAGTAAACCCCATGCAACAGACTGCTGATGCTGATGCATGTTCGCTGCTGCTGTTGCTGCTGCTCTGCAAGCCCAGCTAAGTCTTCAAGCAGGCTTTGGGGCAACCTTTCAAAAAGAAGAAGAGCAATTTTTGTTTAGTTTTTTTTGTCCTTGGCCGAAAATGGTTCGAGAGCTACATCACACGCAGAGCTACTTGTACACAAACACAACATGTATATACAGCAGATGACAACACACATTGTGACTTGAATAAAACAAAATAGGTGATAGAAAATCTGCATCTAGTTTATTCCCCTCTTAGTTATTCTTTAACAATACAATTTGACTGTACATTATGTTGTCACCAGGACATTCCATGGTGACCCATTCCCTGGCATATTTAATACATTATATATACGTAAAATTAGGTGTTAATATTTAAGTAAATTCTTTATTGGTTCGTTGCTGACCCCGTAGGCTAGTGCAGAGTCGCGGTCTGAGCGTCGCACATCTGCACTCGCTGGTGACAATCACCGTGTTTTGCATTCCCGATTCTGATTCGTCGTGCACCCTGGCACGACTGCGCATGGGAATAGCATCGGTCTGTAACTCGTCTTCTCTTTGAGAGCGTACTTATTCAAACGTTGACATTTGTTTAAATAAGGAATTCGGTTAAATTTGATTCCTTACGGCAATGTTTACAAATGGATGGAATGGCTGCAATGAAAACATGACCTTGTTTACGATAACAGAAGTGATTGGCCGGTTGATGCCAGCCAAGATCACGTTGCGTTGAGAGGTTAACGTCACATGCCAGACAAGTAGGGATTAATCAAATATATCAGAGGTCATCACGATAAATGAGGCAATGGTACATTCGACAATCCACGAGTTGAATTTCTCAAAGGTGTGTGGCTGTTGGGTGCTAGGATTGTTGATAAAAGACCATACAATGGACAGGATTTACTTTCAACCCACGCCTCTGCCAGCACGTTCCTGCCTCAACGCCACGGTTATGCCCCATCTGTAACGTCACCCCAATTGGTGCGGTCGTCGTCATCTTGCAATACTTTCATCTCCATACATTCGACTTTCACTTCCAACCTCAGACCTGGAGATAAACAACAGTTCCACGATCTTTTATAGAGTGTAGTCGTGCAAGGTTGCTGACATCGTTGACCAGGCAATGTCTCTCTCTACCATCTAACGGAAACATCCAAAGTGAATATCACGTCTGGGTATATCACGCTCTTTACCCATTCACTAAGCATTTTTTATTTGTATAACTGCGTCTGTGTGGGTTACATAATAAATACGAGTCTCTAGATGCCCATTGAAATACACTCATGTCGTGAGACAGGAATAATATCCCATCATCATCATCAGCCATGATCTAGCCCCTGCTGGATGAAGCCCTCCCCCCGTCATCACCATCCGCTATACAGCAGAACCCCTCTTGACGACAGTAATTGGTTCCAGGAAACCGGTCGTTAAGTGATTTGGTCGTTAAGCGATTATAGTAAATACACGTTAAAGGCTCCATTCGTTCCGATAGCATCGAAAGTTACCCATTTCACCCCCAAAACGTACCTGATAATATTTAAACAATGGATATTAATACATTAAGATACTAACAACATTATAAAGACATACTATAGAAAGAAACATGGTTAATCAATGCATGAATTCGTATTTATTGTACCTACAACAGCTCGTCGATAACAGGGGAATGATCGTTAAGCGAACACATTGGGCTCTATGGAGGCCCGTCGTTAAGTGATTAGTCGTTAATAGGAATGGTCAAGAGGGTTTCTAGTGTAATCTCATGCCACAAGCCATGGATCTCCTGCACCATGAGCCGATGCCATTGCTCCATCTCCATGGTTGAGGCGTCCTGGGTGAATCTCCTCCCAAGGTTGCACTTCCGTAATTGGTTTCAACCATCAGCTCTCACACCTGTGGCAAGTGACGACATGTCCTGCCCAAGTCACGTGTCCCACCCAAGTCGCGTGTCCCACCCAAGTCGCGTGTCCCACCCAAGTCACGTGTCCCACCCAAGTCACGTGTCCCACCCAAGCGACGTGTCCCACCCAAGCGACGTGTCCCACCCAAGCGACGTGTCCCACCCAAGTCACGTGTCCCACCCAAGTCACGTGTCCCACCCAAGTCACGTGTCCCACCCAAGGCCACCTACTTGTCTGAACAGTCCATTACTTGTCTCTAACTTGAGTTTGTTCCCTGATCCACGGGTTTCTCTCTCTGCCTCTCAAGAGTAATTCCAAGCTTGCGCATCTATCACGCTACTTTATAGACTTTCCACTTTTGTTCTATTTCTAAATGTCATAGCAGGTAATGTACACTGATTAAGAATGTACTATTTAGGCACTTTGCTACGTTTTGCTTTTCACGATGGAGCCCAGTTTTCCAGAAAGCGCTCCAATCCTCGCCCAAGAGAATAGGAATCAGTAAATTTCAAAGCTGGTTGAATGTTTTTTTGTTAAATTTTTTTTTAAAGACAATAATAAACATAAAAATGGAAGTCCCATCAGCCAATAAATTAAGTGGCTTTTACTTTTAGCAATTAAGCAACCTCCCATTACCTCTTTATCGTTTTAATATTACCATATTTTGCTGAACGGTATAAAAACTAAATTTTTATGGCAAGTAGATGCTACATATACGATGTAATTTTGTAATTGCGTGGAATAATGCAATTTAAATCTCCTGAAAAAAAAACAGTTTATGTTCGAGTGAATAGAGAATCAGCATCTTGCGATATCCACGTCCAGTCTTGAGATGAATCTTAAGCCTACAGAGGACACCGCGCTGGCATAACGAGTGCAAGGGGCAAGTGGTGGTACCGGTGGTGAGCAAGCCGACCTTTGAATCTGGTGAACTGAGTTCAATTCCTAATCGAGGCTAACAGCATTCATGAGTTATCTTCGGCCGTCATGAAACTCCCTTCACCAAGCCGTTACTGACCAGCATAGCGAAGTATGGTCGAACGACTGCACAGCCTACAGAGCGTGGCAAAGCACTCATCCAGAAGTGCGTTGACAAAGGGTCGTACATTATCATTATATTATCCAGTGCAAATACAATTTTAGCCCAAAAACCATTTCAATCGATTGGGGGGTGGGGAGAATAGTTCTGCAATTGTTTGTTACTAGGCGTAGACCACTGGCCCCGAGCACAAAAAGATAATTATTCGACCGCAGAAGATAACCCCGGGATTGCACTCGAGTATCGCCACGAGCAATGCCGCCGAATACGCTGACCCGGCCATTAGTTGTCAGAGGCACTCCACTACCCTCTGCCAATAAAGCAATTACATTACATCTGCAACAAAAGGGGGTTAGAGAGTGTCCCGTGCTCAAACGAGCATGAGCACTGCCCGCGCTCGTTTTTGAGCACTCACTCGTTCACGCGGGTGTCCGTGCGCGCGATTGCGCATTCTGTCACGCGTGGACGCATTAGCGCATTACAACGTTCGCTCGCTCGTTTTCTTCCCGAGCGACGGGTGCAGCTCTGCATAGCGTGCACCAACCTGGGCCACGAGGGCACATGCTGCGGCCGTTTGTGCATTGTTTTGAACTAAAGCAATTTTTTATTTGACCATGTAATGCCCAGTGAGCTACTATATAGCTCTTTTTCAGAAGCAACCACTGAGAAATGTGGATTAGTGATTATAAATTTACACCATTGACAATTGATGAAAACACAAATTACGTGATTTGTTTTGTCATTTTACGTTCAAATTGACACTTGTGAAAGAAGCGCTAATTACAGGAGACTGCACACTGAGCTCTGCGGCGGCGCGGCGCTGTAAGCATTGTCACGGATGTTTTGTGTGATGGCGCACGCCTCTGATCCAGTGACTGGGAGGCGGGGCTCGTGGGTCACACAAGGTTAAAGCCAGTGTGAGACACCTATTTTTTATTGTAATAGGTAAGGCCCACTGAGCTGTGTATCTCTATTTCAGAAGCGACCTGGCAATCACAAATGATAGCCCAATGAAGTGGCTTATCGTGTGGAAATTCATAGCAACAGCCAAATACTCTTAGACACACGTCAGGGTCAGCTTGAACCCATGACTTCCTGTATACCAGGCGAGGTAGTTAACATCTCCTAGCCGCGGAGCCCCTATCTGCACACAACACTCCAATGCACTGTGCAGGGGGGGGGGGGGACGCCGTGCCCCTGTGGCCTAACCCACAACCACTGGGGGACCATTCGCGAGTAGCTCACCCCCAACCTCCATAGCGCATCTGCACGTCCGTATTTGCAGGTACAGCGCTGTATATATTTAGTCCATGTGCCTTAATGTGGCAAAGCAAA